AAGTCATCACCTGCACCATTAGTAGGCTGTCCCCTTTTTGCTGATGACTGCTAAATTTTATGCAATATGTACTTCACAATTTTTTTTTCAAAATAACATGTTGAGCCATGCCTGTAATTTGCTTTTTCAGGGCAACCTGAAGACCAGCTGAAGTACCAGTTTGCCTCTGCTGTTCTTTATATTTCCTGGATGCTTGAGCTAGTGGTGCTGTGCTGACAGTTTATTAATATCAGCAGTGTTGTGCTTTGACTCCAGATGTTGTAGGTCTTGGTGTAAGAACTGCCAGAATCAGTCAGATTTTGTACTGGCATGGTATGAAGGTGAACTGGTGCCACCAAAGAGTCGTGCTCTGCGAGCTCTGCTTTCTCTCTGAAAGCTGGCAAAGCCTGGCTGTTTGGCCAGGAAGATGGGATCTCCTGTAAGAAAGGGCAGAAAACCTTGCAGTGTTTGTTCTCATTATTCTAAGTGTGTCTTTTTGCGAGAGGTTTCAAAACCGTGCGTTCCTGTGGCAAGGAGCTGGGTAGGGTCTGTGATGACAGATGATGAGACTTGGTGGAGAGCATGGCTGAGAAATGCAGTTGGTCCTTCCTCTCATTTTCGTCTGAGATTTTTGTGTTGCTTCCTCTGCAAACTCATGTTCTCCTGTGAAGGTGGGTGCTTGGTTTTCCCCAATGGTTTCTTGAATGAGAAATGTCTTGGTCTTTTAACAGAGGATTTTGGGCAGAGGGTTTTGCATTTTGCTTTGCTGTTTGTGCCTGTTGGTGTGAGACTTTCCCCAGATCATGCCAAGACATGGGAGGTGTCAGTTGTTTCTCTGTTGTGAAGGTGTGGCTGGGGTTGTCAGATGATTGTAGGGCCTCTGGGAAAGAAGTACTCCACACATGTGGAGTGGATGACAACTAGCCTGGGAAATATTGCAAACTGTATGCTTGATAAAATGCCCAAGGGTTCCTTGCATGAGGTGAGGAACTGTGTGTGTGAGGACGGGTCCAATTTCATCTGTGTGCAAGGTTTTGCACTAAAGCTGGATGCTTATTGTAGCGCCTTTCAGGTTTGTTGTGTTGACATTTGCATGTAGTAATTGTAATTCACCAAAAATAATAGCTTCAAGAGATGAGCAGTGTTTGGCATCTAAGAAGAAGACTCAAAATGATCAAAGTGGGTAGGTCGCAGTGGAAACAGTCTTTACCAGCAGGAAGGCTGCCTGGTTTGCTCCTAGCCTGCAATGACAACAGAAATTCACGTCTCCTCTGAGGGCTGGCTGCCCTCTGATACCTGTAGGGACAAGCACCACATGGTTTTGTAGGGAAAAGCACCACATGGTTTTATTGGTGGGAATTGTCCCAGGAAGGGTTCGTGTCCATTAAATGCAGGTGACTGCAGCTGACTTGACCTCTGTTCACAGGAGAGGGACAGGGAGTGCTTTAGGTCTGGAGAGCCTGAAAAGCAAAATGGGCAAAAAAGAGCCAAGAGCAGCCCTGGCCTTGGGCATACTGAATCACACTGAATGCTGCTGCCTTGTTTTGCCCAAACACCTCTTCGTTGTGACTGGAGCTTAGAGGTTGGCCCTGAGCTGGCTGCTTGCACCTACATTGTGAACACCTAAAGTTAGGTGAGATGAATTCCCCCTAGGACACTGCTGCATGTGACCTGGGAGTAAAGGACAAGTATGGCCAGTGCAGAGTGTTTCAAATATGGAAATATGTTTAAAAAAACCCCAACAACAACCCACAAACACACCAAAAAACAAAGCGGCAAGCATTGCCCCTTGTAAATTCTGATTCTTTTGTTTGCCTAAGTAATATTTAGCATTAAAGTTTGTACTCCAGTACCTCTTCTATATTTTTTTGCCTCATCTTGAGATTGCATGTTACATTCTTTTTGAAGTTTTGGTTGGAAATACTTGGATGACCTCCATCTGAAAAGCCTATTAGATATATTCTAGGGACTTGTATATATATGTTTTAGAATATCTTATGTGATCTCAAGGTATCAGTGTACTGAGCAGAATTTTTGCATGTTGTGGGTTTTTCCTGTTGGAATGAGTGAGAATAAGTACTAACAACACCTAAAGCTGTAATGTATCTGAGGTCCATTGTCCTGTCTCTCTCGTAACGGTCAAGCCAAAAGTACAAGTTTTGTTCACACCTCACTTGAAAACAAAAGCTTTGGTTTTTTTAATCACATAAAAAGGCTAAGTTCTTCTTGCATTTGTCATGGGGTAAGGGAGCACAAGGCAATGTGACACTGCTAGCTGAATTCACCAAGTGGATCAATGCAGGAATAGCCTGTCAGGGAGAGTGTTACATAGGCACAGAAGGAGTCTTGGTACATATGAGCTATGGATGTGAAAGTTACAGGAGAACAATACCTGGAAGTATTCACAAGGTGTAATATTATGTGTCCCTCATCTACCACTCCAGTGAGTCAGCATGATCTCACCTGGTGGAAATACAACACTTGATTCTGACCTGTCTGTCAGGCTCTGGGCAGTGGCTCAGCACTAACAGGTAATATTACAGCCTTCTGTCCTCATCATTTTGGATATCTGTAGTGATGTTTCCCAATAGTCTCCTTTATTGTGGGTTTTTAAAGCTAGGTGTCAGCACAAGCTGGCAGTCAGATCAGTCCGCACTATCACCATCTAGCTTTCCAGCACTTACAGGTGTTGTTCTCCTGTCACTTTCACATCCAGAGCTCATATGTGCCAAGACTCCTCACACAATTCTTGTTTGCACTGGCTGGTCAGCCATGGTTCATTATATCCAGTTATTCTACTCCTGGTTAAGACAATATCTTGATGTTCCTGTGACATCCCACCTCTCAGCCTTTCTGCCATCTGTCAAACATCTTTCATACATGCACTCATGTCACAGAAGGAAAGAGATGCACTTCACTCGTAAGAGAGAAGCAGCAATATGTTTGATACAAGACAGTGAGTTAACAAAGTTGAATGGTAAACGAGACAGTGGTTTAACAAGATTCCATGGCAAGGTACACTGATTATTTACTGCATAGAGGATAGGGTCAAACAAAACTGTCAGGGAGACCTTCCCGTTGAGTCATGAGGTTCAGAAAGGACCCCCTTGCTTTCTAAACTCCTTCCCTTAGAGAAGTCTACGTGGAGCTAGATCCAAACTTAGTCCCAGACTTGGTCAACGGTTTATGTCTAAAGGATTATATATGTGCGCAATCAATCCTTTACATCACTTAGCTAAGATTTCAAAGTTTAGCATGCCATTAGTCACTTATTCCCAATTCACTTACCGAGTACCTGGCGTGACAAAGAATCTCTCAACCTCGAGGAGTAACCTTGAGAGGCATCCCTACTCAAGGGGAGATCCTGGCGTGCAGCCCACTGCCACGCAGGAGACCTCAAAGGGCTCTTGGGCTGCCCATTATTTATGGGGGTGAGATGATTGACTCAGTCATATTTACATACCAACTGCAGATGTTAGTTTCTTCCCAATTTGGCTTGAGTCAGACATTGACCAGCACTGTGGTTAGGTGAATGCATTGCCTATTGTGTTGTTATCTGTCTCCCCTGACTCCACTTTAGCTGGATGCATCCATCACAATCACCACAGGTGGTTATCGCTTGAGCAGGGTTATGCGAAAAGGTCAGGTCAGGGGAGAGCACACCATCACAACTCATACTTACAAACTAATGATGTACAATGCAAGTAGCTCAAGCTTGTGTAAGTGTGTTCATTTGATGCACACTAAATTACAATAGAAGTTAGTATGGCACAAGCAATAAGTCAGTTGGCATTGGGTCCTAATACTATTAACCTTTACAAAAGCAGTTTTTTGTTAATCATCTTGTTCTTAAGACATTTCCAGACCACCCAGTTGCTTAAATACAACTCAAACTTCATACGCTTTTGTCAGACTCTACAGCTTGATCTGGTGTGGATGTTATAGATCAGAATGTAGTAGTTGTACTGCAGATGTTGTGTCCACCAGCCCAAGGCACATTGCACTTACGGACCCCTGAAGTGCCATGCTGTTGAAACACCTCCTAGCTATCCTAGTACTGCCCAACATGGCTTACCTGCATCCTCCACCATACGGGAAAGGCTTTGTCAGGAGAAAGCTTTACTCATATATATAGTTACAGTTAACAGAGACCTGTCCCAATTACCATGCCAGCAAGTCAGCACAGCATATCCTGGAGGGAACATAACACTTGCTCCAGTGTCAGGCTCTGGGCAGCAGCTCAGTACTAACACTTAACAGTTCCACCTTGCACCCTCTGCTTCTATGCAGTATCAGACACCTCCTTAACACAGTCTCCCTTCTCACCCCAGTCTCTGTTACTCTGGGTTCTTATAGCCAGATGTCAGCACAGGCTACCAACCAAATCAGTCCACAGTGATGCCACTGTATAGCTTTCCAGCAGTTTCAGGTGTTGGTCTCCTGTTGCTTGTTGATCCACAGTCCATACTAAGGCTCGTCATTCTCTGTTCTTGTCAGCAAGCTTATTATACCAAGTTATTCAACTTTTGATCAAGACAAGATATTGATGCTCCTGCGACATCATTTAAAATTGAATATGGATGATAGTTTCCAGTTGTTGACATTGTTGATACAAGTGACTTGGTTTGTCCATTTTTCACATTAGGATAGAACTTCCAAACCAGCAGTAATCTAAACATTTTATTTTGGATAAGAATAAAATTGAATACTGATCTCTGTCCAGTTTCAGCCTGTAAAGAATGCGACTGAAATAAGGCCCAGTATGAGTTGGTATGCATCTGTAGGTCTGGACATTTCTCCCATTTATTCTTCTTTTCCAGAAAGCTTTGGGCTGTGCTCTAGAAGTGAAGTTTATTGTTGTCTCTTATCTTCAGGCAGTGATAATGTAGTTCATTCTTTCAGGATGGTTCTTTCTTCCATGCTCACATATCCTTACCTTGCAGCCTTAAGTGGTGTTGATGCAGGACAGAAGATAAAATGACTTGCTGGTTCATTCTTCATGTTTTCTGCTTTCCTATTTCAGCCATGCAGAGAACACTTATCTAATGAGTAGAAAATTATAGCCCATATTTTGTTCTTTAGAACAATTTTAGTATTTCCTTCCACCAAAGAAGAAAAACCCAAAGTCACTGAATACATATACTATGCCTTTGCTGGCAGGAGAGATACAGTGTGCAAGCTACATAGTGGACAACTCTAGGCAATGGCAGAAGCTCATTAGACTCCAGAGGCCTGTAGGAGGGCAGGATAAAACTATCTTCAGTATTCTGCATTGAAAGGGTACTCCTTGTGATTTTTGCACCTGGAGGAAATCAAAGAGGAAAAATTACTCTCAAAGCTGAAATAAATGCTATATAGAACTACACTGGGTGTACAGAGGAGCCTTCAAGAGAGGCTCTGAATTGTGTAACTGCAGAATGAATTTAAGAGACTTGTTAGTATAGAAATGGCATACATGACCAACAAGTTCAAGTCTTTTCCTATTATCTGAGCACTGAATAGCAGTGGGACCAAGTTACTTTCTAGATAAAGAGTTGAAGTTCACACTGCTTACGGAGGAAACAGCAGTTTCTGTGGCCTTTCAGCCAAGACTTCTTGTCTTGTTATAGGCTTCCAAGGTGCACATCTGCAAGCAGTCGTTCTTCATACTGCACTTCAGATAGTCATTCCCTCCCCCAGCCACCTATGTAAGAGCTGACATCAGTTTATAACAACTCACAGAAAAAAATTACCATAAATTTAAAACTGCCTAATGCTCATTTCTCCAATATGGACATAACCAAAGTTACCAACTAGAACCCTCCTGTTGGAATTCCAGGCACACAAAGTTTCCTGGAGAAAGGATTCACAATGAATAAGTAGTATGACTTATACTCATCCTTTAGTCAATAAAGTGAAAATATAACTCCACTGAGATATTAGATAACAGATCCCCCAAATGATTTCAGTTTTCAAAATACACCCACAGCTATACAGTACCTGTAAGATCAGAATAAAGATTATTGAAAATGTAAGACTTTGAAGGAAACAAGCTGTGACTTACGTGATCATTTCACAGATCCTCCAGTTTCTGTTTAAGCTGAGAAGGGTTGCCATCTCCTCTTTAGTCAATTCAAAGTCAAACACCTAAGAAGAGAAACAGCTGGAAATCACCTCTTTGAACAAATCAAATCAGAAGCAAGATTCACAAGATTAAAGAACAAGTTCACATCAGAAAGGGTGCTGGTTAGAAATAATGGCTTCATGAGACAGGGAAAGGAAAAGAAGTATCTTTGGATTTTTGAGACTACTGGCAGAGGGGAAAAAAAGACTGCCAGTTGCAGTTACATGTGCCAGCTGTTCCAAGATGCTTGGTGAGCACTGAGTGTTGCAGAATGCCTCTATTTGTGGAAGATGCATTTCTCTCCAATTCCAAAGAAATATCTGGAAGACTTTCTTATTTCAATAAATCCAGCTATGTTACTTCTGAAATCTTGATGTCCAATATCAGGAAGAAAACCATGACTTAACAGTCAGAGGAGCAATGTGGATTATTGACACCAGGACTCTTCTCTTAGCATTGCTTACTCTATATTTTGAGGAATGTTACTGCACTTGAGCTCCAAGCAAGCTCTGCCTGCCACTTCATCCACAAGTCACAGAACAGGAGACACTATGTAAGGTGACTGATAAGGTTATGAGCATACTGTTTCCAAGAGCTCTGTGTATCTTTTCTCCAGCTGTAGTTTTCATTGTAGCCCTAGCTTCCAGACAGAAAGAAAAAGCCCAGTCCTCTTGCCTGAGGAGAACTTGGGAAGGGTGAGAAAGGATCGGTGCTGGCTCTGCAGGGGGAAGGCATGCCATCCCTGAAGGGCAGCACCCAGGTCACTCCTAATGACTCACCTTGAAGTTCTCCACAATGCGCTGTGGTGTGACAGACTTGGGAATCGCAATCACGTTTCTCTGGATCTGGAAGCGAAGGAGAACCTGTAGGAACAGACAACTGAGTCAGAGAGAGGACGGCTCCTGCTCTGGAGGAAGCAGAGCCTGTTCTAATAGCTGTTTTCCCTAAGCTACACGTGCTTCTGCAGAACTGCATTTCAAATCATTCCTGTTCTTGTGGCCTAGGTAGCGCTCCTGAAGGGCAAAGAGGGAAGTGGTGGAGGCCCACTTGGAAGGCCTCCTTTCCCATCCAGTTTTGGGACAGTCAATTCCTTTTCTTCCCCCCTGGACTCTCAGCAGTCTATGCAAGGCTTTCATTCTCTGCAAGAGGACTTGAGAGGGGAAGTGACATCTGAAAGTGAGTCAAGAACCTTTTTCTGGCTGAGGGCCAAAGAGATACTGGCACATATTGTAGGCCACATAGTAAGCAACCTGCATTGCTTGTTAACACCAGAAAAGAACACACAGTTCACAGGGACACTGATAGAGGCTGTAGCCTCGCTTTGATGGTTTCTTTAATGGCTGTAATACTGGAAGGAGTACCCACTGTCAGCACCTATATACCTGTGCTGGGGTTTTGTTGTGCTTGGCTGCAATCTCTTGGATCTTGGGGTCGTCCAAAAGGGAAGGATTCTCTGGCTTACCCCTACACAGAGACAAAAAGGAAGAAGTGGCAAAGAGTCACTCCAGAAAGAGTCTACCTAGCATGAATAATTTAAAAAAAAAAACCCGTAACAAAAACCAAAACCACCTGTGCCATTACTCATTCAATTAGTCTGAATGCTCCAAACTTAAACCACACTAACCCACTTAGAAATTACCTGTCAGGGCGTCCAAGGGGACAGTATGCTGTTACAGTGATCCCTTTGGATTGGCAATAGTTGATAAGCTTCTCCTGGGAAAGGTATGGATGACACTCAATCTGCCAACACAGGAGTAGAGACTGATAGTTGTAGAACTACTGTACTGTTGCCATGCTCCAGAGATTTTTTTTCTGAATCCTAATTACAGGCTGCCTTCATCCTGCCCTGCATGTGGTCTGTGTGACAATACAAGACTATAATTCTATAGGGCACCAACTTTTGTATTAAGTCCTTATGTGTTTTTGGGATTTCGTTCTGAGAGGCTTTATAAAAGTCACTGATTAGAGTCAGAATGATAGCTCATGTCTGGATTCTTTATCCTTCCAGAGAGAATGCTTCACAGGGAAAAAATACTCCAGAATTTGTAAACAGTAGTTCAACAAGGTGAATAAAAGGAAATATTTCGGTCCTTTTTGTACCGAGAAATATGCAGAGCGGGATTTAGAGTACATGCTGTGTCTACTTTGTTCTCCGTTTTCCATCTCCTCATTCAGCTGTAATAGATCTTTATAATCCCTGGAAACTATTTACCTGCAGTCACTTTGCAAGCTTACCTGGTTATTTGCAGGCTTATGCTTCAGCCCCGGCTTGTTCAAGATTCTTTCAGTCTGCTCCCGGTTAAAGTTGGAGATTCCAATGGCTTTTACCAGACCAGCATCCACCAGCTCTTCCATGGCCTAACACAAAGGGGAGCAAAGTCAGCATCCAGTGTACGTGACATGATCTGAATACATTCTTCCTGATATGGCTTGTTTCCCTTCATGGGAAGCACAAAATAACTGTTTGGACTTGCCAAGTTTTTGACTCTCCAGGGGAAGAGTGGATACTGGTAGTATCTGTGCCACGTATTCTATCACACCAAAGCCCGAAATCATTGCTGAGCCTGAAATTCACCGAGTTACACAAGGAAAAGAAGACTAAGTCTACTATTGTCACAACACTGGAGGGCTATGCCCTACAAGGATGGCAGGATCAAAACCTAAGTGTCTATTTTTGTAAAATCTGTTTGAGCAGTTCAAGAACTGCATGAGGACTGTGGTGAAGAAAAATCATACAGTTAAGGTCAAGTAAATAACTTTTTCTAACCTCAGTCTGGTGTGCAGCTCCACTGAAAGTGACTGTGCAGCTCAGTGACTTGAAATGCTAATCCACAGTGAATAGGAACAATAGCTTGACTAAGCATGCACAGTTTTAAAAGCTACCACATACTTTTGTGAATTCTTTCCAACTAATTCTGCATACATGCATGAGCCATTCTGTCACTGCTGAAACTAACACCACTGCTGAGGACAGAAGACATGATTCTTCCACTGTGGCTGAACTTACCTCCCATGTATGTAGAATATCTGTGTTGCTGGGTATAGACATGCCTTTGTCATCTGTGGGAAACAGCTCCTCTCCTGCCTGTCCGGGAGAAAGAAAATGCTTGAAAGTATGTTGAGAAGTTCACTTAAATACCATGATAGCTTAAACTTTAGTGCAGGCAAGAACACTGATTCCTGTCTACATTCAGTCATTCCTTCCTGAGGAGTAGGAGGGATTGAAGGCATTTTTGCCAATGACAATTCCCATAAAGACAGTTTTTTCTGCTAGACCCCTCAAATTGATAACTTACCCAAACACCTACAAGGAAACAAACCACACTCAGAACTATAGCCTCCAGTCTCATACACATTCACTTTGTGTATTGTTCTTTTGTGCCCACTTAAGAAGAACTGTTGTGTTCTTTTTCCAGAAGGACATCAGGGGACTTAGGTACTGGGAACATATAGCTTTGGTCTATACAACACCAGTTCTGCTGAAAAGAGGTATTATGTGCAGTGGAAGTTCTTCCAAGACAAAGCTCAGCGTAAAGCCACTAACACTAGGAAAATTAGAAGAGCCTTTGTGTACAAGTTATGAAGAGACACCAAGACCAAACTGTGTTTAACAGTTGTTTGCTACTGTCACCTTGAGACAGTTTCACTTTCCTGGCTTTGTTAATGTAAAGCTAAAATAGAGTATGAAATAAAGATGAGCATCTCAAAAGCAACAGGTAGGATGGAGACTGATCAGACTGTAGCAGGAAGGAAAGGCTAAGACTAGAAATAGTCAACCTGAGACATCAGCTCCTTCACTAATTTGTGAAAGAGTTTAGGCCCCCAAGAAGTTTGACCTTTTGAATTCCTGTCTCAGTGGAGCAACACTAAAACTCCTACAGGCAAGGTCAGCTCAATCTGTACAGTATTAAGGACTTAGTGATTAAAGAGAGAAATGGAAAACAGAAATATTTTCTCTTGCTCTGCGATTCTGTAACACACAGGAAAATTTCTGACAGGCAGCAAAGCGCAGCCCTCCTTCCCACAAGGGGTAATTCTGAGATGAGCATACACTGATTCATAAGAGAAAGGGAGAGCAGCCTATTTATGCTTGCAGCTGGGACACCTGCCCCTAGTTTTCAGACCATCATTCCCAGGATCAAAGGGGTATGCAAGCAGCAGTCTCAGGGGCAGAGATCAAGAACCTGGCTCACGTGGCCAGAGTAAAGCTGAGCACCAGAGCAGTGCTGGTAGACACGCGATTGTCTTTCTCAGGCACAGCAATTGTTGGGCTGTAAAGCCATATAGGCCCCCGAAAGCAGTAGTCAAAAGAAACAAAGCCAAGGGCATTGCTGTTACTGTACCTTCAAACCAAAAGGCCAGTGCATGAGGTAGAGATCCAGGTAATCCAGTTTGAGGTCAGCAAGAGTCTTCTGACATGCTCCCTTCACCAGAGGCTTTTCATGAAACGTACACCATAGCTAGAGAAAAAACCAAGGCACACTGTGACCTCCTGGGTTAAAGCCCTCTGGTACTCTCCTGCACAGGACAGAAATGCTCCATCTTCTTTGGAAGGCGATGTGGAATGAGGCCATACTAGTGCTCTTCGGATGGGGCTTGCTCTGTGGGCAGGACTGGCTCGTGATGCTGAAGGCATTACGTGCAGTGACAGCACATGTATTTGAGTAGGACCATAACAGAGAAAGTCCTCTGGTTCCATTAGTTAAGACATCATTTGTGTTACCCCCTCTTACACAGAGTCTGCCTTTGCAATAGGTGGCTTTTAAATGAAGACATATATCTGTCATTCCTGACCATGTGTAAGACTCCTGCATTGAATGTAGCAGGCAAAGCCAAGAAAATATAAGACAAGCCACAAAGAAGTGGTTGGCACCAACCTTTAGCAAGGTAAGAAGTAACTTCAGAATCCAGCTAAATAACCTGGTTTCCTTAGTAAGCAAGGGAAGGAGAACCCACACCTTCCTTGGGACATGTGCTGAGCAGATTACGCTGTCCCAAGGTGCCCAGAACCTCATCTTCCTCGCACAGCAAAGACACCCCTTTGGCAGGACTGTGGGCTCAGGTGCTGGAACAAGCACCAGCCACTGCTAATCTTATCTGCCCTGCTGTGCTTCAGCAGTCAGTGAGGTGCTGTTGGTTCTGCCTCTGTATCAGTCTAAGACACCAAGTGATCTCAGACCTCTGCATTACAGGTTTCTACCTTGCTTGGTGCTACCTGGCCCACTCTACCTTTTCCTGCTCCCCTTCTCCTGCACTAGCTGGTCTGCAGATGGCCCCTCTGCTCCAGCAGAGCTATGAGATGCAGGGCCAGGTTCCTCCTCATCTATCCCCCAGCACTTCTGGGTCTCCTTGCATCAGAGTGCCAGACCACAGCAGGGCTGTGGTGCTCAAGTTCTCAGTGGACTTTGAGGGGAAATCACAGTCTTGAGTTCCCTCAGTCATTGGATTGACTGGAGAAGAAAGCTGCCACCACACAGTTAGGATAAGGGTGATTCTTCTCCCTGCTCAAAGGTCAGGGAACTCTCTCTTCCTATCCAATGGCTATAACAATAAAATTTACTATCAGTGGACAGGAGAGAATCCAACTGTATCACTGTGCTGATGAAGCAGAAGAAAGTAGTATCAGGAGTGATCTCATTTACAAGTTTCTCCAATGCTACAGCATAAAACTACTTTAGTTTCCTACTATAAAAATATCACAGGTAAAGCAGGTCTGTCCACAATCCAAGGCTATCTGATCTTTACCTTGCTGACGATGAAGAGGTCCTCTCGTTTCACAACACCTTCCTTGATTTTCTGCTGGATCCCTTCCCCAACTTCCTTCTCATTCTGATACACATAGGCACAGTCAAAGTGTCGGTACCCAGCATCAATGGCAGCCATCACTGCAGCTTCCACCTTACCTGGGGGGGACTGAAGGGAAAAGGGTATGCTATGTCTCGATTTGGGCTTCTCCCATGCTCCTCCTTAGGTAGCTAGAGGGTAGCTTTTCCATAAAGCTCCTTGGTTCTGCACACATCTCAAGCACAGGCTCCTGAGCTTAAAGCCAGCCTCCAGCTGTACCTGTGTCACCCCACGCCCAGGCAGAGCCTCGGCCCCAACACCAGGACCGATCTCCAGCGCCGGGCCAAGGCCTCCTCACTTCCCCACACCGCTTCTCAGAGGAGAAGCCCCCGGCAGCTTCAGCAGGGGTTTAGCCCAGCGGAGGGGCCTCAGCCCAGGCCTCGGTGACCCGCGTTCCTGGGCTGAGCCCTGCAGCGGCGCAGGAGCTCGGGCTGCTGCGAGGGGCCAGCGGACAGGGCGGGACCCTCGGTGC